CAGCCCCAGCCCTGTCCCAGCCCTGTCCCAGCCCTGTCCCAGCCTCAGCCTCAGCCCCAGCCCTGTCCCAGCCCTTCCCCAGTGTCAGTCTTGTCCCAGACTCAGTTTTCATTTCTCCTTTTTGGAGCCTATTGAAGCCTTACAATTCCCTCAACAGGTGTGGATAGAGAGGTGCTGATAGCCCAAGGCTGGGGTTATTGTGTTTCTGATTGTTCTGTGAATTATGTATCCGGTAACAAATGTGTTTCAGTTGTGCTTTTTGACGCAGTGAAACTGGGCTCTGTGCCAAGGTGGTCTTTACACAAAGGGTTGTGGGAGTCTGGAGCGAGTTACCCAGACATGGTTGGGATCAATTAACTAGAAATGACCAAATCGTCTAGATGGGCTGAACTGTCTCCTCTCGTTTGTAACCCTTGTCATGTCTCAGCCCGTCCTGATGACAGCGCGGAGTCACCTGAGCGGAGTTTCTGTCGGGATCGATCGGGGCGTAGCGCCCTGGGCGCGTGCCCATGCGCCGTGCCCCCGTGATGCCGCGCCGCTCTGTGCCTCCTGTCACAGCTTGTTTGTGTGCTCACAGGAGACGGCAACGCCTTTATCGATCTGGGCCGTCCGGTTTCATCCTGCCTGCTCCAGGCTCTCGTCTCCTGCCCCCTTTCCTGACTCACTCACCGGCGGGCTTCCCCAGTTTCCCAATTTCGGGAGAGGGAGCTCGCCTTCGGCAGTGGTACGGCAGGCTCAGGCCCTGCCAGCGAAGCGGCTTCTGGAGCTGCTGTGCCGCCCAGCTCTCTGTTCTCAACAGGCTCCACACGGGCAGAGAGGAAAAACACGCTAATCGAATCCCAAAAGAGCGCTATTATCAGGGGCTCCAGGCCGGCTGTGATGAAAATCCCTTTCAGCTGTAAGAGGATCATTCTCGGCGGCCTCTCTGTCTCTCTGGCGCCCCCTCTGGTGAGTCGACTGTAGCGACTCCAGGAAGGAGGAAAGTTCTTCGCCCGCTCCCCTCCCCCAGCGCCTCTTCCCCCATGCGACCTTGAGAGATTCCTTTCGGAATCCGCTCCCCCTCCTCCCGTCGGGGAAGTGTGGTCACTGTCAGAGAGAGAAACAATATTCCTGATATTTAACGGGAACAGAGATTAAAAAGAGCAACAAAACAGCTCCTCCGTCATCGCTGTCCCGGTCTGCCCTCCTCCCCCTCCTCTCCCCTGATCCGATCGGACAGTGTGGGACGCCGGGCGTTGGCCCCTGTCGCTAACCCCTTGGGCAGTGGCTCCAGAAGGGTCACCACAGTTTCGGGGCGCCTGCCTCGGTGCCTTGAACCTCCGCACTGCATTGATCTGCCGAGCCTCTCGCTGGTGGAGAAGACGTGGGTCTGTGGCGGAGGCACGCTCTTCCTCCTCTCCCTCCTCTCCCTCGGAGCAGCAGTTGGCCCCTCCAGAGCCGGGCTGTGACGGATCATGGCAGGGCTCGGCCACAGGCACCGAATGACACCTCGTCGTCACCTGGGCCCCTGCAGCATTGCTCTCTGGGATCCCCAGAGTAGCGAGCTGTGGGGGTGAAAACGGAGCGTAAGCACAGTGTCAGGTAGATTCCCCTCCTCCGAGCGTCCACTGCCCGGAGCGACTGTCTGGCTCACAGTCCTCAGTGTGAGACGGATGTTCAGTGCTTCCTCTCCGAAGCAGGCTGATATCTGCGGGGATAGTGCTGTCTGTGTGCGGACCGAAGGCCCCTGCACTCCTCTTCCTCAGTGGGAGGTGCCGATTCTGACCGCCTCCTTGACGGCGAGGACCCGGTCCAGCGGCGCGTGGAGCCGAGACTCGCGACCGCACTTGGCACTGAAGACGAGCCGGCTTCCGACACGTTGTCCCATCTGCGCGGGACCCTTCAGGTGCCCTTCCACGGACACGCCCCCGCCCACAGGTCCAGCTCGCGGCTCGGGCAGCTCGGCTGGCTGCTGGACTGTCCTCAGGCCCGGGCTGTCACACAGCGAGGTGTCTGTCCAGTCCGGTCCGGTCCGGTCCGGTCCTGGCTTTAGCTCCAGCCCTGACTGGACAGGGGCAATTAGGTACATAACTGGATAATCGAATCCAATAAATGGATAAATAAAGAGGAAGTGGGGAGACTACAGTTACACACCTTATTGAGTTTTATTGCAGAGGGGACGAAGGAGCTCTTATTGATGTTTTTATTTGAATTTGGTCCCCTGAAGACAGGATCAATAAAACTACTCAGTGAAGGGGTGTAAATGTAGCCCCCCTCTGTCTATTTATGTATCCCATCCTGCTGTTGTGATATCTTTTGCTTGTGTGTGTTTTGTCCTTCTGTGGGAGAAGCCAAAGACACATTTCCACAGCAGTGGATACTGACGCATCTATTGTTTCTAAATCAGGAAATGATTTTGTTCGGGTTCCGGCTGCGCCCCAAGGAGGGGTGTCATCCTCCTGTAGGCCTGCAGGGTTCAGTGCCAGGAGAGCGGGGCGCCACCCTCAGCTGTCTTCGGGGCGCTCAGTGATCGCTCTGTTGACTGGCAGGGGGAGGCACCAACAGCTCTGTCTGCCGCCCAGCGCCCGTGCCAGGGCAGCCGGACTGCAGGACGCTGATAGCGGCGCAGGGCCCGTGTGGGGAGCAGATAGCGTGCCGCACGGGACACGCCTGCACACTGGGCCTGTGTTTACTCATCTCTCGCTGGGGCACGGCCAGGGCCAGCCACAGGCACACGCC